GGGGACACAGACACAGGGGGGACACAGACACAATGGGGGGACACAGACACAGGGGGGACACAGACACAGAGTGGGGACACAGACACAGGTGGGGACACAGACACAGGGGGGACACAGACACAGGGGGGACACAGACACAGGTGGGTGCAGACACAGGTGGGGACACAGACACAGGTGGGGGACACAGACACAGGGAGGACACAGACACAGAGTGGGGACACAGACACAGAGTGGGGACACAGACACAGGGAGGACACAGACACAGAGTGGGGACATAGACACAGGGGGGACACAGACACAGGGAGGACACAGACACAGGTGGGTGCAGACACAGGTGAGGACACAGACACAGGGGGGGACACAGACACAGGTGGGTGCAGACGCAGGTGGGTGCAGACGCAGGTGCTGTGAGGCTCTGAACCAGCCGCTGGTGTCTCTCCTTGCACTGCAGCTGCTGTGATCTCTGGCTGCCTGCAGCCTCCAGGGCTGCGCCTTTTGCAAGGACTGAGTTTTTGTTCTATTTGTGTTTTTTCAGTACAGTCCCAAATCAAGTGACTCCGATGTGAGCATGGGTGGGTGGAGACTTTTCCTTGTTCCGGGCTGCAGACTCTGAGCTCGTCCCTTGCACTGTCCTGGGGCTCAGCCTTCACAGCCCCAGCAGTGGCAGTGTCACTTGGGAGGGTGGCACTCCACTGTCCCCATCTGATACCCAAATTCTCTCCCACATTGCTGGGCCAGCAGCTCAGGGAACTCCTCCTGCAGAGATCTGTAACCCTGGACTAGCAGCCTCTGGACAAACCTGGATCTTTTAACAGTAAAATCATCTGGGTTGGAAAAGCCCTCCAAGGCCAGGGAGTCCAGCCATTCCCCAGCTCTGCCCAGGCCACCACTGACCCCTGTCCCCAAGTGCCACATCCACACTTTAAACCCCTCCAGGGATGGGGGCTCCACCACTGCCCTGAGCAGCTGTGCCAGGACTGGACTTTTAGGTCCAGAAATTTTCCCAATATCCACCCTGAGGCTCCCCTGGCCCAGCCTGAGGCCGTTCCCCCTCCTCCTGTCCCTGTTCCCTGGGATAAGATCCCAAATCCCCCCGGCTGTCCCCTCCTGTCAGGGAGTTGTGCAGAGCCACAAGGTCCCCCCTGAGCCTCCTTTTCTCCAGGCTGAGCCCCTTCCCAGCTCCCTCAGCCTCTCCTGGGGCTCCAGCCCCTTCCCCAGCCCCATTCCTTTCCCTAAATTTTTAAATTAAGATGGTTTAATACCTGTCAGATATCTTGCATTAACCAGAACAGCGAGCTGGGCAGTGTTTCAGTTTATAAATTCCAGTATCTTGGATAGAAGGTAAACAGGAGTTAGTTGTGAAACCAGGACTGCAGTTGGCATAAATAAATGTAGAAACTGCTGCCGTGTCCAGCTGAAGGAGGGCGGGAGCACAATTGGAGGGGGAGCCAGCCTGACTCTTGGTTGCACTTCATATCAGCAGATGAACAGATGTTTTAAGGCTGGCTGCTGACTGTTTGCCCAAGGAGCTGGACCTCAGATTAATGATTATTAATGATTTTCCGTACTTCAGGTGTTTGTACACCTGGATTATTTGGACAATTAAGCACTGCTGGCCAGTAAATGAACGGGTGTAGTGTTGTCCCCGTCTTCACTCATAAATTCTGCAGTGTTTTTTCCCCTTTAAACTTCCCTGCAGTTCAGCTGCCTGTTTGAACGATGCTGCTTGGTTCCCTGAAACGTCCTCAGATGGACCCATAGCTTGCCCTTCAAAACATCTTTTCCCTTCGAGATGCGGTGATTACCTAGGAAATGGACTCCAGACCCCTGGCTATTGTGTGAAAATCTCCATCTTCTTTTCCTTTGTCATGTGGCTAATGCAGTTTGTCAGCCCTCAGCCTCGGGGACAGCCTGGTCCTGCCTGGGCTGGCGGCAACAAAGGAACAAAGACGCCACGGCTGGCCTCTCATTCCGCATTTTTTTCCCACTAGATGGCACCTGTAAAAGCCTGTCCATGCCCCTGTGGGCTTCTGCTGCCTTTTAATTCGCTTTGTCTTTTGGTCCTGAACTCTCCTGCTTCCCTTTGCTTTGCTCCCACCACAGAGAGGCTCTTGTGGAAGTGCGCTGACATTCAAACTCAGTTCCAGAGCCTTCAGCTTCTTTGGTAATTTGTTTTCAAGCACGGTAGTCCTGGGGAGCTTTAAAGGTTTTAAACCAATGTTCCGAAAGGTGTTATCACAAGAAAGTCGAGAGTTTTTTTTGCTTTCAGTGTCTTTGCTGCCGGGAGAGAGGGTAATTTATCCCGAGGGTGTGGTTCACGCTCAGATCTGTTTTGACATTTTGTGCCAGTTGAAATCCTGTCCAAAGGAAGGATCAGCAGATCTCATCATTCCCTGCTCTCCAGGCTGACACAGCAGTTCCCCCGCTGCCCTCCCACCCTCCGGCAGGGACGAGACCTTTCATTCCCGGCTCTGCCCCGCTCCTCCGGCCGTGGCTGTCCCTCCCCGCGGGCCGCGGCCCTGGTGCCGGTCGGGGTTAACACACCGGCCCTCCGTGCTGCCTTTGAGCTCCTCCAAGGCGCTGCTGCCGTGGGGCTGAGCAGACACATCTCCCGCGTGCCTGGGGAGCCTCTCCTGGCTCGGAGGGCTACGGGGCTGCTGGCCCTGATCGATCAGCTGCCTGGCTGATCGATCCTTTCATCACTGATCCTTTCACACTGATCGATCCTTTCACACTGATCCTTCCTTTCATCACTGATCGTTCCTTTCACACTGATCCTTCCTTTCATCACTGATCGTTCCTTTCA